CTTTGTATACCTGAGCCACTTAAAATACGGGCTGAAAACCAAGGTCTTTTATTTTCAGAAAATCAAGAAAAGGTTTGAATTAATTTTTTATTTTTTTTTGAATTATTTATATATATTGACTACTTTTAAAAAAAGGGAGGTTCGGGAGTCATTGCTCTAGATCCAGGTATACGAACTTTTATGACTGGTTATGATCCAAGTGGATGGCTATTGAATGGGGAAAAAATGATATTTGTCAGATTTATCGACTTTGTCATATATATGACAGACTTCAAAGTAAATGAGATATGAATCATAGAAAAAGAAACAAATGTAAACATTACAGGTTAGTTTTTAATAGCAGATTTATATTATTTATAATTTGACTGATTATTTTAATTATAGACTACGGCATGTTATGTTGTATATTCACAAAAGGATCCGTTGTCTAGTTCATGAATGTCATCGTAAATTGACTAAATGGCTTTGCGAAAATTATCATATTATAATATTACCAGAATTTCGCACTCAAAGAATCGACGTATTGATTCTAAGACAGCTCGAGCTATATGTACGTGGTTACATTTTCGTTTTTAGCAACATCTGGTCCATAAAGCACATGAGCATCCATGGTGTCGAATAATTATTTGTACAGAAGAATATACAAGTAAAACTTGTGGATTCTGTAGTTACATCTACCACAAGCTAGGTGGATCTAAAGTATTTCGTTGTCCTAAATATAAAACAGAACTTGATAGAGATATTAATAGTGCTCGCAATATTCTTCTTCGCTACCTTACTAAAAATAAGTCAGTTTAAGCTGATGTGGGAGCCTACTTCCTTACGAGACTTGTGTTACCTAATTTAAACTTTATTTAGTAATAAGTGTTTTTATTAGGAATAATAGATTTTAATGTAGACGTTAAGGAGAAATAAAAAAATTTTTTTTAAAAACCGGTTAAGGAGGAATAAAAAAATTTTCTTTAAAAACAATTCTCGATTCAATGAATTTAGGTAAAAAAAAAA